TGGCTGGGTAGGTCAGTCATGACATCATTTTTAGATTTTCAAGCCAAATGTAAAATTAAGTTGTTTTTGAAGCCAGCGCTTGCTCTGATGGAAGAGACTCCGGAAGGAGGACTTCCTGCCCTTCCAGGCTTAGGGCCCCTTGGAGTTTCCTCTGAGAGGTACCAAATTAGAATGGGAATGATTTATTAGAATATTTTATCGCTCTCCCTTTCCCCAGTTCTCTATCCAATTGTACCATCAACACCATGAATTCCTATACAGAAGAAACTCTAAGCTGGTGCCAGGAGACCTGGATTCTAATTCTGGCTTCTTTTGGAAGAGGAAATTGAGAGAAGAGAAAAATAAAATAAGAAAATAATGTTAGAACACAAAAATGGTGAGAGTCCTGTATAAATTTTGGAGGTGAGCCTCATATTTGAATCTAGCATTCCTACAGTCAAAACAAAGAGGGAAGTAGATAAATAAATGATCTATCCTGTATTAAAAAATTACCTCAAAACTTAGTTGCTTAAAATACCAGGAATTTATTATCGCTGAGGGTCAGGAAACTAGGAGGAGTGCAGCTGGGTAGTTTTGGCTCAGGCTCTCTCATAAGGCTGAATTAAGGTATCAGCTGGGGCTGCAGTAGTTTGGGGCTTGATGGAGGCTGCAAGGTCCATTTCCAAGATACCTTATCACGTGGCTATTGGATAAGGCTGATGGTCTTGGTTCCTGAATGTCGGCAGATGGTATTAACTTTTTATCATGTCTCTCCACAGCGCTGCCTGGGTGTCCTCATAACATGGCAGCTGGATTTCTTAGAGTGAGTGATTTAAGAGGGGAGCTGAGAAAGGACTGTTGTTTAATCTATCCAGGCTATGATATTTTATTGTAGCAACCTGGACTGTTTGGTACCCCTTAATGTAAATTGATGGCTAAAAACCAAAATATCAGTAAGTGAAAGCACTGACATGAGAAATCTACACAATCCATCAAAATTGAAACTGTTCAGATGTACCAGCATAATACAAGAATAATATCAGGGAAATTGGAGTGATGCTTCTCAAATTGAGGTAATTCTATTTCTGGGTATATATATATGTGTGTGTGTGTGTGTGTGTGTATATATATCAGTGAACTATGGATACTTAAAACCAAAGAAGCAACATGTCCCATCTTTCTGAAGTATTAAATTTATGTGAAGATTTTGGAGGAAAATTGTGAATATTTTTTATTGAAATGTTTTGTCACAGAAGTCCATGAGAAAAATCAATAGTTATTTTGTGTTGTGTTTTATGTCTTTTACCAGTTTTATGCTTTACATAGATTTAATTTTTTATGTTTTAATGTTTTTATATACTGGTAATTACTGGGAAATTCAGACTTTTGTATCATTTAAGGAAACCTTGTCTATTTGCCCCCGCCTAATTGTGTATATTTTTGCTGTAAACCCAGTTCCTCTCTATCATTCATACCCTGCCCCCTAGATCTAGACCATGTGATTTCTCAGTCAGCCTGCAGATGTTCATACATTTACTATTTTGAAAAGGTGGCCTCTTTTCAAACCCCTGCGTGCATTTGTTTGTGTACTTATTTATTAATGTACATTTAATTATAGAAAAAAATTTCTCACAAGTCAGCTCAACTTTCTAATGTAATTTCCCATAATTAAATCTTTTGTTTATAAAATGAAACAGTTTTACTTTTCATGGCAGTGAGTTCCCTTGTAATATAAATATACCTGAAATTATGCTTTAAAAATTACTCTAGTGCCTCTCTTTTTCTTCATAAAAATGTAATATTATACCTTTAAAATAGTATTTTTAATTAGTGCCATCCATTGGAACTGGCAAAAGAAAATTTAATGTATAAGCTTACAACTTATGAATATGTAAATTATTCTCACTCAAATAAAGAAAATAACTGATCAAAGGTTATGAGTAAGTGGCATTGTCCCTGAAGATCACCTCATTGGCAGAAAATAAGAGCATTACTGCAATCATAGTAGTGAGAGTCAGCAGTAATCAAAATCTGTAGAATGTACTCGGATGCTAGGTTATGCCTGGTAGCAAATTAACCTCAAAATCTTAATGGCTTAACAGTACTGCGGCTGTTTTTCACTTGATCAGTCAATTGTGGGTCCACTGACTTTCCAGGGTAGCTCTGTCCCAAACAGGGACTTAAGAATCTAGTTTGCTTCTGTATTGTGACTATTCTCTCAAAACCTGGCTTCCAAATTGGAAGATCACATACTGGCTCTTAAAAACTTTGAGTTAGAAATGACATACATTATTTTCTTTCCCAGCCCGAAGTCAGTACAAGGGCTCATCTAACTGCAAGTGTCTAAAGTAATGTGGAGTAGCACATGCTTATTTGGTGAGCAGTATAGGACTTTGCGCCGATGCTTCTTCAAGCATAAGTCTTATTTTTAGGAAGGTGCAAAATAGCTTGAAACTTAGTGTGACTTAGGGGGATAAAGTCAGAGTAACTACATAAAATAATCCATCTTTTAGTGGGTTTTAGAAAACAACGACACAAACTGTAAAGAAAAATCACTAAAAATTTTAAACAAAAATGAAATAATTAAAGCTGCCTTGGAATTAATTTCAGAATTCTTGTGGACAATGATGCTATGGAATAGGAGAAAGTTTGGTGATGATTTGGTATTATAGATTCTGCTAAAATATGTTTTGCCTCAAAAATTGGTATCCAAGCTGAAACAATTGAACTTTTAAAAATAAACTGTTGAAGGACACCTTTTTATAATGCTCAAAACTTGTACTCAAACATGTTGAAGACAAACATTGATCTAACCTCTCAATGATTTTTGTTTACAATGTTTGTGAATTCATGTTTATCTGCAAAGTAAAAACAAAAAGTTATTTTCAACAAGATGATGAGTTTTTAGTGAAAAGAATAGCAACTGAAAAAATTAATAAATGTGAAATCAATCACATATAAAGTTGGAAGGTGCTTATTTTCTGAATTTATTAGTTAATACTGCAGCATTTATTGAGAGCATTTCACCTGAAAAAATTGCCTTTTTTCTTAGTATGTTTAATAGGATGATAAAAATGATCACTTGTGAACATTTTTACTGAAAAAAATACTATAAAATGCTTAGGCATAAACCTACCTAATGAAGTAAAAGACTTGTTTGTACTCAGAAAACTATGATGCTGATGGAAGAAATTGAAGACAACACAAACAGATGGAAAGATATACTGTGTCCATGGATTGGAAGAATCAATATTGTTAAAATGACAACACTACCCTATGCAATCTACAGATTTAATGCAATCTTTATCATGGGATTCACCAGGCGAGAATACTGGAGTGGGTTTCCATGCCCAGGGGATCTTCCCCACTCAGGGATCAAACCCACGTCTCCTGCATTGCAGGCAGATTCTTCACTGCTGAGCCACTGGAGAAGCTCAAAGTATGTATGCGTAAACAGAAAATTAATTCAGAAAAACTGTTAGTTTTCTACCTAGGCATGATGAGTTATTCTACTCAAAGGGCCCACATACACTAGCTTTGGGTGATTGCTAAGCAACCATTGTATTAAGCCATTTCTAGAAAATAGTCAATTTGGTTTGTCCTTCGTAGTATTGGATGGTGTGTTTCAGCCAAAGAAACTGCCTTAATTTCCCTGCAGTATTTGCCTACTACTAGGGTACATCTTGCTATAAATAGGTCTCCTTGACATTTTCATTACAGTAAGTCCCCTACATATGAACAAGTTCCATTCTGACAGCAAGTTTGTAAGTCCAACAAAGTGAGCCTAGAGTTAACCCAAAGTTAACCCAAAGAACATGATCAGCTATATAGTACTGTAGTGTAATAGGTGTATAATACTTTTTAATAATACATAAAAATAGACAAACACAAAGAATAAAGATAACATTTAAAATCTTACAAGTACAGTACCTTGAAAAGTAAGGTAGTACACTATAATAGCAGCCATAGGGCCTGGCATCCAGTAGATACACAGGAGAGTTACTGACTACAGGAGAGAAAGAAGGTGGGAGATGGAAGAGCTGAAAGATCTTCAGCAATAGGAGATGAAGCACAAGCTACAATTTCACCCAAACCTGAGGTTGAGGGAATCCATCTGGGCATCTTTGAAAGCTCTCAACTTGAAGGCTCATATATAGAGGACTTACTGTAATGCTTAAAAAATAAGCACTCAATGTTGTAAATGTACTTAATGGCACTGAACTAAACACTTAAAAATGGTCAAAATTTATGTTACAAATATTTGACCCCCAAACATTCTTATGGAGAAATTTACAAGTTAACAGAATTTTAATGTTAATACTTGGCTCAGCTCATCTCTCAGTGTCAACCCTGAATGTGCTGAGGTTGACTATGAGAGGATGTGACATTATAGCCTTAGCCAATCTCTTCCTAGTCTTTCCTGTCATGCAGGTGAGCTTGAGGGTGAGGTGGGGAGTGGCGGTGTGCCAGAGAAGGTCTCTATCTCTTGCCAATTCTGATGTTGCTTAGAGGGCAAGTCTGCGTCTATGTTTTCTTGTGATTAGAGACCTCTGAGTTGGCAGCCGCGCGCTATTCTTCCTTCATCCTGGAGAAAGGAGCAGTTTAAAGGTCCTGTCGCAGCAGGTGGGACGATTCTGGATATTCTGGCAGCTCCCTTCTGCCACTCTTAGCAGGCAATCAGCGGACGGAGGGCAGGGCTGGAATGAAAAAGGGTTCGGATCTCAGGGACAGGAGATGAAAGTTGCGAAAACTCTGCCCAGGTTTCTTCTCTGGATCAACTTTCCAGGTTATAGGATGAACAAACTCTTAGGACTGGCGGTGGTGCGTCCTCCCTGTGACTCATGCCTTTGTTCCCCACGCCGGCCCAGAGCCGCTGCGCTCACTGTGCCCGCACCTGCGGGGCGCGCACCCCACCCGCGCGCACCCCACCCTCCCGCGAGCACCCCACCCTCCCGCGAGCTGGAGCCTCCTCCGCCGCCGCGGGCCTCGCTCCACCAGGCACATGCGCACTGGAGACGCCGGGCCGGCGCCTTCAGTCTCCTCCTCCGCCGCCTCCCGATTCCGCAGTCACTTCCTGCAGCTGTTTCCCTGTGGGTCCGGTTGGACTGACTTTTGACAGTCAGCCTTCAGCTGTGGAGGGGGCTCTGCCGGGCCGGCCGAGAAAGTTGCGCGGAGGGAGGCGAAGTAGAATCGGGCCGAGCCGGGCGCGGAGGGCGGACGGCGGCGGACGTCCGGGGCAGGCGCGGCACCTAGACTCCCGGCGCGTCCGGGGGTTCCGGTGAGTGCGGGCGATCGCGAGCCTCGGGACATTTAGGACGAGCACCGGAGCGACCAGGCTTGCAGTTCCTTTCCGGTGCCGTCTTTCCACCTGCCCTCCACGTGACCGGCTTGCGGTGCTTTTATTTATCTGTTTGTTTTTAAAGCATTCACGTGTACCGTTCGGATCCTCTAGGCGCGCGGCTGCCTTAGCCCTAGCGCTTGTCCCCGCCCCGTGGGAGACCCGGGATTCCATCTTTCGTGATGGCATCCTCACGGGATTGAGGTGCGTGCGTGTGTATGTGTGTATGTATGTATATGTGAGTGCGCTCTCATGTGTGTGCATGCACGTTTTAGAAATGTAAGATATATGTGGACAGTGCTGAAGTATATGTAGCTCTGATTCAAATACGTGAAAGGTTTCCTAGGATTCGGACCCGTCATAACTGAGATTGGAGAACATTCGCCAATTCACCAAGGCCTCTTCTTCCCCAGGTTCTTGCGTTCTTTTGGGTCTTCCTTCTGTGATATACCTTACAACTGATTATTTTTCTATTTTCCTCTCCCATTCCTTCTCGCTGTGTTCTGATGACCTCTGAATAATGCTCACCCGTCTTTCCCTCATTTTCGGAATACCCAGTTACAGACTTCCCTAGTTTCCTGATGTGCCAGTCACCTGTTCCCTTATTGTGTTTCCTTTCCTCCGAAGATTTCTCCAAATGAGAAAGTGGTTGTCTTTAATGCAGTATGTGAAGAGTAGGCCCCAATTCGATCATGAAAACTATGCTATATGATCATTCCTTTTCTTTAAACAGGGCCGACTGAGAAGCTTTGATTTTCTTTATTGTCCCCTCAACCCCTTCCATACCAGGACATTAACCACCATAAATCCTTCATTTATGCTACTTCAAGGATCAAATTGAGTGGCTTTTATGATGAGGAATATTTTATTTACATCAGGCATCAAGTTAGTTTCTTTTAATCTAATGTAGTAGTTGAACAGACGTGAGTCCTATATGCTTTGAATCTCTTTATATTCCACCATATCTGCTTTCACTGAAGGTTTCATTTTTAGATTTTTATTTTATGCTAGTTTTTTTTTTTTTTTTTTGCAAGTATAGTAATACCTGATGTAATTGTCTTGCAAAGATACTTTTGGGGGAGTTGACGTCATTTTGATTGTTAAATATTTACAAGAAAGAATTTTGGACTATCTAGCTATTCTTTAAACATTAAAAGATAAAATGTGATAATGGGTAAGTCTGTACTGTATGAGAATTGTTTCTTCAATTCGGGAGATTTTATCAGGCCTTTATTTTGATGGAAGCCTGCAGACAGAGCTGGGGGAGACACATGCTGGTATTTCCTCAAGTGGGAGTGAACTTTTATAAAACAAGTCCAGACATGTCTAGGCCATTGGTAACATTTGATTTTCTCTTTATATTGCTTATTTCCTTTATCCAGATGTTTTAACATCTTCCTCGACCATTTATCTTTGAGCTGGAACTTGTCATTTGCACTTTGGTATCCTTTTGTCTCTGTACAGGGGGTATATGTAGTCTTTTAATATTACTTGTTATGATTAGGTAGTTAAACTTTTTAAAAAGGGGTTTTGTCCCTATAGTTTTCTTTTTTAAAATATCCGTATTTGCCTTTGCTTTCTGAATGTCTTCACTTGGTTTAATTCAGAGGAATAATGTGATTATAGAGAACCTGACTTTTTAAATGTTCTAAATCCGTATTGCTTTTTAAAAAATATTCTCAGAGGTGTGGACAGCATACTTCTGCTTGAGAATAAAATAACATTATTGTTTTTCTAAATATTATGCTTAATGAGAAATATTGTTGAATACTATGACTAATGATATATGTACTTTGCCATTTAGTATATTATTTTCCCATTGCACTGATAACTTCTGCTTTAAGAGCCTGAATTTAGTACAAAAACTGTTATTTGGTTGCAATTAACAGGTGTAGATACTTATTAAATGTGGTAAAAGAGACTTTTCAAAATTGTTCTTGGTTGATTTTAGTAAATCTATTATTATCATAAAACTTACACTTTTCTATTGGAGGTGGAAAATTTCAGCCCTTAAAATAGCTATATTCTAATGACCAGAAAGAGGTTTTAATAGTATTGAAAGTGGAAGGAATAGAGGATTTTGAGATAAGGATTTTAATTTGGGTTAATTAGAATCGTGGGAACTCAAAGCACATAGTGTGGTTCATTTTGAGATACTCAGGGTTAGGGGCTTCCCTCATAGCTCAGTTGGTCATGAAACCACCTGCAGTGCAGGAGACCCCATTTCGATTCCTGGGTTGGGAAGATCCCCTGGAGAAGGGATAGGTACGCACTCCAGTATTCTTGGGCTTCCCTTGTGGCTCAGCTGGTAAAGAATCCACCCGCAGTGCAGGAGACCTGGGTTTGATCCCTGGGTTGGGAAGATCCTCTGGAGAAGGGAAAGGCTACCCACTCCAGTATTCTGGCCTGGAGAATTGCCTACATCAAATGGTGCATGAAGTAAGCGTCCAGTGGGGTACTGGATCATATTGCCAGGGCCCCAGTATAATTTTAGTTCCTCGGTCTTTCAACTGTTTGCTTTCCCTTATAGTCTCTATTGTTTCCCTCAGAAAAGACCCAATATGTTCCAATCCCTCTTCAGTTTTACCCATTTCTCCTGCCTCCGACCCAGATGGCAACTTCTAATCCTGAGTATCTCAAAATGAACCACACTATGCGCTTTGATTTCCCATGATTCCAGTTAACCCAAATTAAAATCCTTATCTCAAAATTTACCTCTAGAGAGAGAAAGAAAATACTCTGATTTTATAGGAGACTAATGCATACAAGAAAGTATCATTTTTTTTTTTCTCGGCGCTCAGCTTTCATCATGGGGTCGCAAAGAGTGGACACGACTGAGCGACTGAACTGATTGAACTGAGTGAATACAATCTAAGGCTCCATGAGGTGGGGTCTTCAACTCAAGCCTGTGGGGCACAGGCATGTAATATGAATAAAGCAGCAGGCTGAGTGGGCCCTTGAGGTGGCCTAGAGAAGACAAGCTTGGGTACCCAAGACAGTGCCTCTCAATACTAACTAGCTGTTGTTGCCCATGTAGGACTACCATCCAAGTGTTGTCAGATCCCTCTTTTATCAAGAGCAGCCACAGATCTTTTGATTTTAAAATGTTGACAACCAATTCAATTTAAAAATGAAAGCAAAATGAAACACTGTATATTCCAAACAGAGCATGTCTGTGGCTGCCTGTGGCCTTCAGGTTGTTTGTTTGCAACCTCCACTTTGAAGATTCATTAGATCAATTATTTCGGTATTACTAGTTGATCAGAAGGTACATGTTTATTTATTTTTGTCACATAGTGACTCAAGAGTTTTTCCAAGATACTAGAGTGTATGTCTAATGTTAGCTATTAGCTATGTAGAGTTCCTAGATAGTTAAGCTAGTTCTAGAAGTGTTTGCAGTAGTTTGAGCAGTGACACTTTTGATTTCACTGTTTTTGATATTATTTGGATGGAAAGACTAGTTTGCATGAAAAGGGGATATTTGCTGAGGTTCTTTGCTGGTGGGTTTTTTTTTTTTTTTGGTCTATGCATGATTATCATCAAGAGTGTTGTAAGTGTGCCTGAGGGAAGGGATCTGGACTGGGTGACCTTTGATGTTCATTTCAGTCATGTGACTTTTAGATTTAATTAGCCATGGATGCAATGCTATTAATGTTCATGGGCCAGAGGGACCGCAGTTGGAGCTGTGCCAGGCAAAATCAAGCCAAATCCATAAAGCTCTTCTCCGTGGAAGAGTGTGGTGTCAATGTGGATTAACAGACGGGGGAAGTGTGCTGGATGAGGGAAAAAAAGGGAGTCCCAAAGATGATTTGGAGAAGCAGAGGAAGGAACCCATGATGTGGTCATTTACATGTCATATTGCTGATAACACATTTTTAAGTTTTGTTTTTTTTTCCAATTTTTGCTGTTGATTCAGATTGAAGACCCGACTTCTCCTCATCCTTTGGATGATGCCCAAGGCTTTCCTACCCAATGATCCTCTTGCAACACGCCGGGCTTCCTCCGCCTAAGCGGCCCTCATCCTCTCCTCCTATGTCAGTGGCCGCCAGGTCTACAGGGGCCTTGCAGCTTCCACCGCAGAAGCCTTTTGGGCAGGAGGCTTCCTTGCCTTTGGCTGGGGAAGAAGAGCCACCTCCGGCAGGGGAACAAGACTCTGCCCTGGAGGAGCTGTGTAAACCACTGTACTGCAAGCTTTGCAATGTCACCTTGAACTCAGCGCAACAGGCCCAGGCTCATTATCAGGTAAGGGAAGGAACGGGAAAATCAAGCGTCTAGTGGGAGAACGTCTCAGGGCTCTGCTCAATTCACAGGTGTCTCTGAAATGACCATTTGTGCCTGGAACAATAAGATGGCTAAGTATTTGTTTGGCTGAAAGCACAGTGTTGCTACTTTAAAAGAAAACATCACTTTTCATGGAATGGGATTTCTTTCAACTTCCTCCCCTTAGCTGTGTGGCATCAGTTTACCTGGGGGTTTGTGTGTGGGTGTGGTAACTTGCTTCAGTCACGTCTGACTCTTTGTGACCCTATGGACTGTAGCCCTCCCGGCTCCTCTGTCCAGGGGATTTTCCAGGCAAGAATACCAGAGTGAGTAGCCATGCCTTTCTCCAGGGGATCTCCCTAACCCAGGGATGGAACCCACTCCTTTCACATTTCCTGCATTGGCAGGCAGATTCTTTACCACTGGTGCCACCTGGGAAGCCATCTGTTGTTTTAGGCAAATAAAATCACCTATGCATGTTTGAACCTGTGGGCCTAAGGAGAACAGGTGTTTGAATATGGTGTACTATACTCAATTCAGTGTCAAAATTGTCTGAAAGAATTAGTTTTATAAATATTCTCTTCCAGCTAATGCAGTTTGTATCAGTTCAGAATATTCTTTGTCTATGAATCTTAAGCTTTTCCTTTTGACCTCTGTCCCTGCTAAGGAACACACAGGTATGTTTCTTGATTGTTTTCTGTATATAAAATTATTTCCTCTTTTTTTTTGAGAAAAGAGATCCAAGAAGGAATTGAGGCCAACTGCCATTGAGTGAAAATACGTTTTCTGGGTAATCATTGATTTGACTATTCTCTGCATGAATATCTGAAATAATAGGACAATATGGTAGAAGGATGACTGTTAGGAAGATGTTTCTCCTGTTGTGCCTCTGTAATTTCCTTCAAGTTTTTATTTACTCTGGGTGTAAGTCTTTGCTGTTTTGTTTAGGGTTGATCTTCAAGGTGGCTAATTGTGTCACATTGTGATCGTACATCAGAAACGTTTTAATGGTGAATTGTTTTCTTTGGGATTTAGGGGAAGACGTGTTACTTTTATGGAGTTCCTGTTGTTTGGGTTTGTTTTGCCCTCCAGTGCAAAGAGTTGAGTTAATTATGTCATCCAGATCTTGGCAAGTGTCGCTGTTGGTCATTGACCCAGTGTGTTAATTGCTCTGTCGTGTCTGACTCTGGTCATTATTGGTTCATAAAGGCCTCTTCTGGATTTATTTTACATTTCTTTCTTTTTCCCCATCCCCTACTCTCATTTCCTCTGTGTATCACTTCCCATGACAGTGGTTTGACGTGGGTTCTTTTACCGGTTTTACTTTTCAGTTGTGGTCTCTTAGGACGATCCATGTCAAATTCAACACACAGTGCTATTAATAGCTTTTGTTTTCATTTGTTTCTGTGGAATGTTTGGTTTTATGGGCTACGACTCATGAAAATCAAGCCTGGTTTCTAAAGTTTTGATTTTTAGCTGTTTAAACCGTTAACTTGGGAGCAAGTTAATTGTGTGTGGTATACACATGTAAATATCATTTACAGAAAAGTTGTTTACTTTTTATGAGGGAAAACTCTTGGGCAATATGTGATTTAAATATATGTGCATGGATTGTACATATACCTCCTGCCTTTTTTCTTCCTAATATCTCTTTGTGACTTTGTAGACAGTGATGGATGCTTTTGGTTATGCATAGAGAGAGTTCAATTTGAGCAGAGTCATTGGATTATAAGGCTTAAACTAGATAAGAAAGAGAACCAGAATTTATTTAGGTTTTTTTCTTTTCTTCTACACTTGTGTGTTTGTGTGCTCTGAACTTTTTAGCTGATGAGTAATATATACTTAATTTCAGCTTCCTCAGTGATACAGTGAATATATGAATTAGAAAATATAAGAAAATGGAATTAAATTTTAGATAATCAGAATTTTTAAGTGAAAAAGTTGAAGAAGGACAGCCTGTTCTAGAAACAGTTTAAGCAGCCAAGAACTGAGGAAAAGTAGAGTAGAGAAGAAGCAACCTGGTATCTAGAGAGTGGAACCTAATAGAAAACAAACAGTTTGAGTGTAATAAAAGCCAGTTCTTAAGAGCTCAGAAGCAAAGATTTGAATGAAGCCAGTGTTACTGGTAATTCTTAGGGGAAGAAGTTTTCTTCCTCTAAGAAACAAAGCAAGCAGTTCATGTATAAAAGTACAGAGCAGTTTCATTAGGATAGCATAGAAGAAAGCTAATCCAGAAGTTAAATCTGGATTTCAACCTGAGAGAAATTTCAGCATGCGAGAGTGGATCAAAAAGTAGATCAGAATAATAAATAATCAAGAGTGTGAACACAACATATGTGGGTGCACCAACATAGAAAAAAAGCATAGAAGTGTTATCCTGAAAGATACATTGAAGACTATACCAAGGGTACACAAATAGGCTGGGATTTAGGAAGGCTTCTAGAGACAAGGGTAAGACTAATGAGTAAGACTTACTGAGGACCAGAAATAGGCAGAATGGCAATGATTGTGGACTGATACAGCAAGGTGGCTGATGAGATGATGGAAATGAAGTTTTATTTCAACTCTAAAACATGCTTTGTAATTTTTTAATACTGACTGATACCAACACCACAAATTCATTATTTTAATTATGTGTGAGATAAAAGGGATCAGCTGTAGCCTATTTATAAGCTAGAAACACATTCATGTGAGGTAATAAATCACAGTTGATTACATTACTCAAAGCATTTTAGTCAGTTGATGCCATTGTTGAAATCTCAGAGTTTCAAATTGCCCAGGGTATTGTAAACAACCTTCAGTCTGGTTTGAGTGGTATTACGGTAGAGACTGACCATATCATGTTCCAGTAATCCAGGACACACAATGGAAACTGCTCAACAAATACTTCCCTTTAAGCTCACTGAGATTTTTCCCTGCCATCCTCGTGTTCCTAAGCTGGGGCTGCCTTAGTGATGACCCATGCATATCAGTGGTCATCACAGATTTAGTTCTGTTCCCAGGACTTTTTTAACCCGGTCAGCTTGCTTCAAAATACCCTTTGCTATTGTTTCATTTTAAATGATGGTACATATTTTTGTGGTCTCAAAATGATGACTTGAGTTATAATTTAAAGTTAAACCTTTGGAGGAAAAATATGTATTCATTTTATTAAAATCTGTCTGTAGGCTTCAGGTTATTTAGAGTAAGCCAGACATGGAGTAACATAATACTGTTTCAGCAGCATAATTGCCTAGAGGAAGAATCACTTTAGGATAGAAGGTTCATTAATAGAAATTTAAAAAGCAAAAAGCATTGGATAAATTTTGCTAAGGTCTCTACATTTTGAAATAACATCAACCATTTTTTCCTGTTAATTCATGTTAACTCATTTGAAAAAGAACTAGTTATTCAAGGTACATTTTAAAAATCTGTCATCAACATAGATTTCTATTTGTAGTATTTAGTAGCCAAACAACAACCTACCATAGTAAGTAGATTAATTTGAAAAACACAGAACACAGGGGAAAAAAGTAGTTCTAGAATTGAAATACAGAAGGTAGTGACCTTAATTCATAATTCAGAGGATACAGCTGATGTTACCCCCAAATTTAAAGTACTGATTTTGGCGCATACATTTTTACGTTGATCACCCAGCTTTGGATGGCATAATCTCTAATGTCAGCTAATTTTTATGTTCCCCCCCCCCCATATTTCCCATTTGATTGTTTTCCAGTTGAACTTGCAGTGTACTGAGAGTGGTCAAAATAAACTTTGTTGGTGGATAGAAGCTCTCTGTGACCCTGTTAGCTGGATCTCACCACCTTTCTGCTTCCCTGTCTCATCCTGCTTACCTCTTGCACGCTTAGTCACTCGGTCACGTCTGAGTCTATGACACAGGGCAGGCAGATTCTTGACTGCTGAGCCGCCAGGGAAGCCCCCTCCCTACCTGGTTTCTTTGCATTTCACAATAGATATCCTTTCTTCTCTACAAGGCTGATTCCTCACCCTGTACTCTAGATTTCATCACCTGTCATCCCTTCTTCACCTCAATCAAATTAAAAACATGCTCAGGTTTTTTTCCCATGTTAATAAAAATAGCAGCAACAACCTTCCCTTTCCTTTTAATTCCTCTTGTTAGCAATCTTTCTTTTCTTCTGTCCTTAGAGTTCTGCTGGATAACTTGTCCTCTTCAAGTTTTCATTTCCCGACCCACCACACTCTGGTTTCCATTCCGGTGTTCTAGTGAAATGGTCCTTTTCAAGGCTATCTGTGACATTAGAGGTCAAATCTAGCTCCTTCTCACTTAGCCTCTTTGTAGCATTTGCACTGGTAACAGCTTACTCCTTAAAACATTCAAAGATATTTTTCTCAAAATAATGCCTATCGAATAAAAGATTTATAATGAAAAGCAGTGATCACCTGTTCTCACTTCCACAGCTATGCTCTACCTTTTCTTCTCTATTCTTTCTGCCTCCCATCTTGGGTTGACTCTAGTTTTATTTTGACAACATCAAGTTTTATAACATTTTTGTTTACTCTATAATCAGATTAAGTTTCCTATGCTTGATATTTGCAACTTGACTCGAATTGTTAAAAATTGATGTTTAGCTTTTATATTATTAGTAGGGAAATGTTGTTCAGTGCAAAGCCTTTTCTTTCTTTCTGTTTCCAATGTCATGGTTCCATGCTACTTAAAAGAGATGTTCAAATGGATAGCTCTTTCGTGAAAGTCACCAGTTCCTCAAAATCGTTCCCTTTTAGTTTCCTTCAGATGTGTATTATAACTTTGAAATAGCTTTTTGTTTTTCCTTGAGTTTCTCACACTTTCTAAAAAAAAAAAAAATAGAAGATTCTTATGCCTTAAAAAAATCTACTAGCTTCTTAATCTTTCTTTTTATTGTTTATAATCCATTTCACTTATCTTCATGAAACCCACTGATTTCTTGTTCTGATTTGAACCAGATACTTTACATTTGGATCATGACTTCATTGGGTATCTT